AACGTCGTCTTGGGCGTCCGGCATCCGCAGGTCAGCACATACAAGTGCATGATCGGTGTCCACATCTGTGCTCCAAATCGAGCGACAGTTCTGGATGCAGCCTCTGCAGCGGTAAGTTATAGTAATGTGATCGATTTGCGTCCATAGCTGGTTCGAGGCTGGTGGGCGCCAAGTCACCCTCCGGCGGGTGCTGTGTCGGAAATTAGTGCTCGCAAGAAATAAGCGAGCATCTTCACACAAATGAAGTAACCGCTCACCGTTATCATTACGGGAGCCTACACCATGTTTGCCGTCCAGATGCAGTTCATCAGTGGATAATTTTCCAACTTGTGCGTTCAGATCCCCAGCCAGCACAACAGCGTCCGAGCTTCTTCTGTGGTGACGGGGCACGTTCAATTGGCGACAGAAATCGTCTTTTACCGATTCATTGCTAAATTTTGTGAGTGTATAGGCAGCGATGACGAATAGACACCTGTTAGTGTCGCGCGACTTCGACTAGCCAGCCAATCGGACCGCACACAGCCGGCTAATGATTGGAATCCAGTCAACCAGAGCAGTTTCAGCCCGGGGACACAGCACAATACCAACACCGACTTGGCCGGTGCTCGAAGCTGCATCGTCACCAGATAGGCGCAATGAGAAAGTGCTGCTAGTGTCACCTGAAGGGGATCGCAGGGTGAGCACAGAGCTCGAGTCTTGCAGGCGGGACTCGGATAAGCAGCAGATATCGATCGAGAGGGTCTCTAATGTTTGGGCAAGTGCTGCCTGTTGACCGATCTGAAACAATGTGCGTACATTGAGACATGCCAATCTGAAGGAGGATCGAGGGCTCCAAATGGAAGTCGATGAACTGCGCTTGCCCGCTTGGTTGGACATGGGCTTGTCGACAGGACAGGAATGACGCTCCGCGTTCACATATGAGTTGAAACTAGAAACGCCTAGCAAAGTAACGTGGGGGAGGGCCAAGAATTGGAGGTTGAAAACAGGGGGGATGAAAGTGAAGCTGGAACGGGACGATTAGGGTGAAAAAGCGTAAGAGGGGGAATAAGAAGACGGGAAGGCTTGAGCAGTAGCATCCAAACCCCTATCCACCCTACTCGATGCAGCAGATAGGGCACTGTTGATTATCCTCTGCGGTGGACAGAGCAACAAGAAACTATTTGAAGAGAAATTCATTGTATTGCGTGGGCAGGATACTGTCAGATTGCCCAGGCCTAGACAGGAGAACGATTAGGGTTCTCAACCAAAGCCTTTGGTTCAAAAACCTTATCGCAAGGCAGCGGGTTTGGCGTTGGGCAACAACGAGTCCGTTTTAGGGAATAAGGCGCCACACTCATTCCAACCCTCAACCTGGAGGACCAGTAGGCTGAGTCTGTCTGGCCTCTAAACATTGACCAATCTGGTATGAGTGACTCTGAAGGTGCAGAAAAAGCACCACCCAGCGTAGCTCAATGGATCGCTCAGGCCCACAAACCATCGCACCACGGTAAGGTCCAGTCTCATTGTGATGGGGTGAAAAAACAACAAAATATACGTACATTCACTAGAGCAAACGTTCACGCAGGGCATCTGTTGTGATTGGTCATCCCGAGGCAAGGTCCGTCTGGCCATCCACGTGACACACGTGTGTGAATAAATGTCCATGTTATCAAGCGAACCAGTGACTTGGTCATGTGTATACCTTACAGCTGTATCCTTTGTGTTTCCGTGTTCTTAATTACAATACTCGCGACGGTTTATCGAACCCATGACTTCCATCGGAAAATTGGAAGAATACAATGAGGGATCCGGTTCCTGGAACCATTACATCGAGCGTATGAACTGCTTTTTCGCCCATAATGCAGCCGCCGCAAAATGAACATCCTACTGAGTGTTTGTGGCTCACAAACTGAGTTAACTGGCAGCTTGGTGACTTCCGATTTGCCATGCACCAAACAATTTACTGAACTGGTTACACTGGTTTCCAATCATTATAACCCAAAACCATCAGTTAGTGTGCAGCGATTTAAGTTCAGTATCAGATTCCAGGATGAAAGGGAGTCAGTTGCTTCCTTCATTGCTAAGCTTCGGAACTTGACAGAATATTGTGATTTCGGTAACCACCGAAGCAACATGATCCGGGATCGTCTGGTGGTCGGTGTGGAAAACGTTCGCATTCAGCGCTGCCG